GTTCTGCATTGTGCTGCAATCTGCATGGTCGGCATTTTGAAACCACCAGCAGCTCTTTGGGAGAAAGGGCTTTCTCTTCCTTTAAATAATTACAGTCTCAGAAGCCCACGGGGGCTCACTATGAGTTTTGTTTTGTTTTTGGTATTCAACCAAAACACCTGTGAATCTCTCCATGTTAAATTTTGAAATCTAGAGATGAAGAGTGAGAAAGGATGCCAAGTAGCACACCTCCATTCACCATCATAAGGGCGCCAAGCCGGCATGATAAACCAGGAAAGGAAAAGGCAAAAGATTACAAAAGGATAAAGTAAGACTCATTCTTTGCTTGTTACTAAGTGAATTTAACAAGATGATAGAATACAAAGTCAATACACACACCAAAAAAATCCATTATGTTTCTAAGTAACAAAATAATTTTAAAATAGAAATAGATAAATCAAAAGATGGACAGAACCTGTCCATTGCACATATGAAACATTCTTGAGATCCTCTCAAGACTTAGATAAAGAGAGGGATATATCATCTTGATGGATTGGAAAATTTAAGATTGTAAGGATGCCGGTGCTCGCCCAATTGTAAGTGAAATCCCAGCAGATTTATTTTTGTGGAAATGGACAAGCTGGCACACAAGATTTGTATGGAAACACAAAAGTGCCAAGACAACAGAGGCAATCTGGAATAAGCACGATTGCAGTCCATCCGCTCCCAGACATCTTCCCCTTACTGTCAGCCTTTTAATAACATCTTTCTGGAGACATGACTCAGAAATAGCGCAGCTAGGACTTTCGGAAAGCTTTGTGCCAACAGAAGACGCCAACTTACGGTGTAAATGTACCTACCATTTTGTTCTCTGGATTTGTTTTATGTTTCTTTGAAGTCCCTAAGCTTTTTTATTTTCTGGATGGGGGCTATATGGGGTAAGTCCGAAAGTAGAGTTATCAGGATTCTTGCTCATGCGTGCACGGATTTATTCCAAGCACTGTCTTCAAACATGCTATCAGTGGATGGCAGCAAATTCAGTAATACACTTGCCTTACTTTTGTTCACCCAAACCAAACTGACTGCCATCAAGTCGATTCCCACTCATGGTGACCCTGCAGGACAGGGTAGAACTGCCTTTGTGGGTGTCTGAGATTGCAACTCTTTATGGGAGTAGAAAGCCTCATCTTCCTCCCACTGAGCAGCTGGTAGTTTCAAACTGCTGATTTTGTGGTTAGCAGCCCAACATGTAGCCACTACACTACCAGCACTCTTCATTTACTTTTATTAGAGTTCCTTGGGGTAGGGGGAGGAAGGTCCAGTCAAAAACAGTGACTTTGAAGGGTTCTGCTGGGGCAGTCAGTCCTATAGGGCTGTGACCATCGCCTCAGTGGCAGTGCTTTGTGGGATGTTTTTTGGGAAGCGGGGAATGTCAAGCAATAGCTTCATGTTTTTATAATTTTAAAAAAATCATTTTGTTGGGGGCTCATACAACTTTTTCATAATCTGCACATACAACACACATCCATTGTGTTAAGCACATTTGTACATTTGCTGCCATCATCATTCTCAATATACTAGTGTAGATCCAAAAGTATTTCTACAAATTCATAGACACTTGCATCAAAGATTATATTTTTCTTTAATGCAGGTGTATGGTTTTGTAGAAATACTTTTGGATCTACACTAGTATAGTTAGTCTCTGGTGTTTGGAAGACACGTATCCTGGCGTGTAAAGGCAGTTATATGGGTGATTTTCCAAATAGAACTTGGTCTTTTGAGTTACCTTTTTGACTACCAAGACAGTGGACTTTCTTTCAGAAATCTGAATGGTGTGGCTGCATCTGGGAGCGGAATGCCGGGGTGCATTGGTATCTGCCCTGGGCATCAGCACCAGAGTCTGGGCTTGCCTGGGCAGTAGGAGAACTTCCTCCCTGCCAGCTGCACCTTCATTACCATTTAGTGCTTCTGGGCATGGTTCCCAGAAAGTCCCTCTGCTATTGCTGCTCTGATCAGGTTTCTGGATCTGTTAATAATAGAAAACAGTGGGGGAAGGGCCAGAATTGTGGAAATAAGAAGAACCCAAGAGATGGGCAGTTCCTGTACCTGGACACTATCTCTCTGCTCCTTCCCTGGGTCCAGTGAGAGCCCTGCAGCAGGCAAGCCTCTAATACGACACCCTTTGGAGTTGCACGAACCTTATGGTCCAAGTAACCGATCAGACATCAGAACGCATGGTCTGAGAGTACGGGTTTATTTACAGGAATACCGAAACAGTATTTGAAATCTGGGCTTCCCCAGATAATCCCGGATAAGTGATCAGACCTACCCCGTATAGAATATCCAGGAGAGAAGGGTCTTGGGAAATGTTAGTGACTCTGTCCAACAGACTGAAACATTGCCCGGTCCTGCTCCTGCACCATCTTCACAATCACTGCTATGTTTGAACCCACTATTGCAGCTACGGTGTCAGTCCATCTCATGAAGGGTCTTCCTCTTGTACACTAACTTATATCGCCAAGGATGATGTCTGTCTCCAGGGACTGGCCCTTCTTGTTAATATATCCTAAGTATATGACACAAAGCCTCACCATTTTCACTTCTAAGAGGCATTCTGACTGTACTTTTCCAAGACATATGTATTTGTTCTTCTGGCAATTCACAGTATATTCAATGTTCTTTACCAATACCAGAAGTCCAGGGCATTGACTCTTCAATCTTCGTTATTCATTGTCTAACTCGGTTGACAAATGTCAACCCTTTTGTAAAATATAACATATAGTATTGAAAATACTATAGCTTAAGTCATGTGCACTTTATTCCTCAAGGGGACAGCTTTGCTTTTTAACACTTTAAAAGGAGAGATCTTGTACAACAGATTGTCCAATGCAATACTATATCATTCATCACAATCAGTTGTCCCAGTACGTCAATAGGGAACTGACAACTTTGAGCCAGATACAGAAGAGGGACATGAATTGAGGGATATCACTGCTGATGTCACACATGGATCTTGGCTAAAAGCAGAGGAACAAAGGTTTTTACCAGTGTTTTATTGATGCTATCAAAGCAATAAGACGGATGGATCATAACAAATTGTGGATAACTCTGCAAAGAATGAGAATTGTGTTCATGAGGAACAAAAGAGATACTGCATGTTTAAAATCAGGAAAGGTGTGTGTCAGGGTTATACCCTCTCACCATACTTCCTCAAACTGCATGCTGAGCAAATCATCAGAGAAGCTGGATGAGATGAAGAAGAATACAGCATCCGGATTGGTGGAAGGCTTATTAATAACCTGCGATAAGCAGACAACACGACCTTGCTTGCTGAAAACGAACAGAATGCAAGGCACGCACTGATGAAGATCAAAGATTGCAGCCTTCGGCATGGAGTACACCGCAGCATGGGGAAAACAAAACTCACAGTGGGACTGATCGGCAGTATTATGATAGCTGGAGAAAAGATAGACATTGCCAATTTTACTTGGCTCCACAGTGGATCCACACCATGGAAGTGGAGTTGAGCAGGGAAGCATTGAATTATCCAAATAGTGAAGCAGAAAGAGGCGAACCATATACCATGTAGGGAATGTGAGGCAAAGCATGGAAAACTAAGCAGGCAGTGATGGTCAAGAAGCACAAATGGGAGGCCATTCTTCGGCATCTCTGCTTCCTCTATCAGAGCTCTCTCCCCGAGAGTAGGGTCAACCACCCAGGGACCGAGTCTGAAAGTCAGCTAGGTTTCAGAAACTGCCAGCTGCAAACAAATGGCAACCCTTTGGTCAAATATAACACGTGCAGACTACTACCTAAAGAACATGGATGACTTCATACATTAGAAAGTGAAGCCTCTCGCTAGTGCCCTGGGTTAGAGACAATTGGGGCAGCAACGTGCCATCAAAACTCCTCCCTCCTCCCCGGAGTCACCACTCGACTGACTTTTCTGATCATGATTAAGAGGATTGAATTTTAATGAGCTGAGAGGTTTAGCTATCCATCAGCCTTAATGGCTGAATATTGGACAGTTGGGGTGATCTAGAGCAACCATGAGAGGCAGTTGGATTTCAGGACACTTAAAATCACACCATACTGTCAGTTCCCTCTGCGCCTGTGGTTAAGAGACATTTCAGTGGAAAAGGATCCCTTAGAAGTTCAAGTAGAGAGAGAGTCCGTGCCCTCTGACCTCAGCGGCCTTCTTGTCATATGCTAGTCCAGAAAGGCCTGCCTTACAACCTTCCCAAGAGGACCCAGCTTAGTGCTTGGGAATGTGCTTGGGCTGGGTTGTCTGCTGCTGACTCCCTGAATCCAAGGATTCCAGGACATCACTGAAGGCTCCTGGGCCCCTGCGTCTCACTCAATTACAGGGGTCACGATGGAGCCCCTCGGCAACCCCCTCTCTTCCCTCTGCTCATTTGGTCTCTTGTCCTCAGTGTTGCTTGCCATTTCAGTTGTTTATTTACTCAGCTTGTCAGGAGGACATGGCTCTCCTTTGCCAGTTGGGCATCTTCCCGGTGTTGGGTGCCTCAGTTCTCGCACACAGCGAGTTTGCTTGAGCGCACCACATTTATAAGCCGCCCTCTGGGTGCTCCGCACTGGAGAGCCTCGCAGATGCTTACAGAGGCAATGAATGAACCTAAAAGAAGAACAAACGACTCCTCCCATGCATTCATGTTCCCACGTGGGCACCATTCTCCAAGGGCCTACTATACATAGATCCGACTGGCGCCTCTGTAATCAAAGCCATCCCTCTCCCTCCTTTCTTCCTTTCCCGGTGCCCCGGAGCTAGACTGGGTGCCCTGCCAGACCAGCTGCCCAGACACGGGAGCAGCCCCCAGGCAATAGACACCGTTGAAGGGAACCGGATTAAATAAAGGCAGAGACAGCCTGTGTATTCCACAGAGAGAGAGAGACAGAGAGACCCGAAAGAAAAGCTGTGATTCACAGAGCCCAGCCGCTTGCTCCATCGGACATGCTCGGGTTTCACACGGAGAGCCACCCAAGACTGGGGTCAGGGAGGGCTGGCAGCACAAGACCAAGGGCAGCTGGCTCCTCCCTCCCAAGGAGATGGAGTGGCTGACAGACGCCAGTCCCTCCCCTTAATCCTCTTTCGCCCCACCCCTCCCCCTCCACTCCTGGAACTGACCACTGACCATTGTCCTGGGCCTCTAAGGGGTGGAGGGGCTGGAGGAGGACGGCGCTCTCACCTCTCCCCACCTAACTAGCTCCTTCCCTCCCTCGCTCGGGCTGGGCTGTAACTCTGCCAGGCTCAGCAGCAAACTGCAGAAGCGCCCCGGGGAGCAGCAGCGCTGCCGGGGAGACGAGGAGGGAGCCTGGCAGCCCAGCTGGGCTGCCTTAGCCCACCGCAGAGAGCACCGCAGAGCTCCGCCATCCTCCCGTCCTGCCCACGGTAAGGGCGCGGACTCCCCCTTGGAGCCGCCGCTTAGAGCTGCCCCCGCCTTGCGATTGCTTGCTTGTCCATCCTGATTCCCTTGCCGCCGCCCTGCGCTCCTTCCCTCTTCCATTCATAGGGTTTTCCCCTTGGGTGGGAAAGTCACTTCCTTATTGGAAACCAAACTCCCTGCCCGTCCCGAGCCCACCCTATGGGGCAGAGTAGAACTGCCTGTGGGTTTCTTCCCGGAGTGGAAAGCCCCGTCTTTCTCCTGGACCTTATAGGAAGGGGCTTCAAACAGTTCCCGGGTAAATGGGGTCATCTTGAAATTCCATTTCGCCGGGAACTTTCTGAAGCCCCTCTCGATGATATGACTTCTGTCCCTCGAGGGCTCCTTGCTACCCAGGGCCCTGAGGTGCTATTCCCTGGTCCCCTGTCAGAGGTGAGCTCCCCACCCCCATAAGGGAAGCAAAGCAGAAAGCCCTGGTTCATGAGCGCAGAAAGCCCTGGTGGCTGGGACCGGGTGAGGACACGCTCTCGGAAAAAGCCAGAGCTCAGTTCTGGACCTTGTTTTCCATCTGTTCAGTGAGCCGGAGCCCCTTTGCCCAGAGAGACACCTCTGCCTCGCGCTGACGGGCCAAGAACTCACTGGGTGACTTGGAACTGCAACTTCATGATCTGAAATGGGAGAGAACTTGGGATTGCCCACAGCTGCCTCTGTATCAGGGGTGCTTGTTAAAAACACATACTTTGGGTCCCATCCTTGGGAATTCTGGCCCAGTAGGTATGGGGTGGGGCTCAGGAATCTTTGTTTTAAGAAATGCTTCTGGGGGAGATGGATAAAAAGCAGGAATCTCTGAGTTATAGGTGTGATCAAAGAGCCTCCAAGTGCTAACTTCCTGAGGGTTACATGCTGTGACCGGAGGCTGCCCATCTTCCTTAAGAAACAGGGCAGGTATGACCCTGTGGGAAAGAAAATAAGGTGATTCTCTTCCTGCCTGCGCCTCAAAATCCCGCTGTAATGCCTTTGGTGCCACTGGTGACATGCCAACTAGGGTCATCATAAAGCCACCCAGATATTGAGGACCAGCTCTTGTTCTAGAGCCCTGGACCACTTCCCATCTTATTTCCATTTGTGTTATAGATGCTATCCTGCCTCCAAATCCCCAAAGATGTCCATATACGTGCTCAAGAGTTAGGTTGCTAACCGACAGGTCAGCAGTTCAAAGCCACCAGCTGCTCTGTGGAAGAAAGATGAAGCTTTCTACTCCCATAAGGAGTTTTCCTTGGAAACTCACAGTGGCGGTTCTGCCCTGCCCTATTGGGTCGCTATGAGTCGGAATCGACTCGATGGCAGTGAGGTTTTTTTTTGTCTCTTACCCTCAGTTTCCATGCTGTTCTTTGTCAGGGTTTCTCCTCCCAACACTTCCTTCTTCTGCCTCCTCGCAGCACCTTCATCGCAGTGACCATCCTGCCCACCCTACCTCCAGTCACCGGAGGAGATCCCCAACACAAAACGCAGGCCACCTGGGCCCCAACTTGTGTTCTCTGGGCAGTTTGTTGAGTCCATTTCTTTTGGCACCGGGCAGGTTGAGGAATGAGCTAGTGAGTTCCATGCCTAAGGATCTCAAGATCCTGACAGGGGATGAGAATCGGCGCTGTTGGGAATGAGTGAAGAAAAGGAAGAGACGTGGCAGGACGTGGTGATGGGCAGAAGAGATACGAAGAAAAGGAGAGCAAAAAGAAACCATTTCAGTGAGCAAATAACAAGGCAGAGGGGACTGGGAGGAACAAAAGAGGAGTGAGCTAGGGAGAAAGGAGAAGGAAGGAGTTGGTCAGGCACAGGGAAGGGAAGGACAGACGATGGGAAGAAAGAAAGAAAGGCTATGAAGTAGGAGAGGGAACAGAAAGTGATGGAGGGGAGAGACCAAGCTGCAGCACCCTCACTGATTCTAACCTTGCCCCAACATGCTCCCTAGAGAAGGCTCTTTCTAAGGGCAAGAGTCTGACAGCGATCCCTGAGCTGGTCCTTTGGAGACCTCAGTTCTAGTCCCAGCTCTGCCATGTAACCAATAGGTGACTCGGGCAGTTCAGCTCATCTTTCCAGACTTCAGTTCTCTTCTCTATAAATGGAAGTCCAGGGCTGACATTCTGGGGCTCCCGAAGTTGAAACTAGCCATCTTATGGCCACGTCTCATTTGGACCCGGGTATAAAATCATGATTCAGCAATGGCAGCAAGATTGGGAGAGCAAGATCATGCCCTGGAGTTGGAAGAGTCCGGTACAGCAGGAACAAAACCCTTTTCAACAACAGGGCGAGATGTAGCTTGCAGAAGAGACATTGCAGGCACGTGGGCTCAATTCTCAGGCCAGCCGTGTTTCAGAACATCATCATGAAGCTCTAGATCTAGAGGAACACAAGGAATCCTCTTCTCTCATGCCCAAGACACCACCCACCCCAGATTCCCTCTGCCCCAGAAATGAGAGCCACGGTCCAGAGAGGAGATGAGGCAGGGATTAGACTTCAGCCCAGGCCAACCCTGCTTAGATATTGAGGACTTTGGAGAGACCTGTTATTTTCTACTTCCGTGTTCATTCATAGTCCTGATAAGACTGAGATTCCAAACTGCAGTTCCACCCAGAGAAGCAGTGGTACTTTCTATCTCCCAGGAAACATTCCGGAGTTCTTCTCTCATGCAGAAGTTCCTTATGTGTGTGTGTGTGTGTGTGTGTATGTGTGTGATATGTTGCTTTAATTTAATTTATTTATTTTAAAAAATAATTTTATTGGGGGCTCATACAGCTCTTATAATCCACACATACATCTGTTGTGTCAAGCACATTTGTACATTTGTTGCCACCATCATGTTCAAAACATTTTCTTTCTAGTTCAGCTCCTCATTTTTTCCCTCCCTCCCTCCCGAACCCTTGATAATGTATAAATTATTATTCTTTTTTCACATATTTTTTTTCTTTTTTCATATCTTATACTAACCAATGCCTCCCTTAACCCGCTTTTCTGTTGTCTGTCCCCCTGGGAGGGGGTTATATGTTGATCATTGTGATCGATTCCCCCTTTCTTCCCC